GCCCCTCGTTTAAAAATAGAAAGCAACCTGCCACATACCTCCTTTTTAACCTTTTAGCCATTATCGCTATTAGATCATGGATGCACCTTCAATATTCTTCGGTACGTTGTTTTGTTGTATTTTATGTTTTTATGCTCGGAACCACGTTATTTAATTTACTCTGATGACGATTATTAATAGTTATATAGTAGAGTTCCGAATATCCAAAGCCAAAATAGGTCGACAGCGAATCTTGTGTAGATGATAAATGTTTGGAGTGTTATAAAAGAACCAATACAACGTAAATACTGTCTATAGTTTACGCGAGTAGTACACATTTAAATAAAACACTTTAACGGTTGAAACGTCGGGCCGAAGTTAAAAATCATTTTCAAATAAGTTTAACTAATATATCGCGTTTTAAACCGTTAAAATGTTTTATTTAAAAAAATACAACGTATATTGATCAAGATTGTTGAGAATACAAATTAATTACCAGACTGTGGTAATAGAGAAACATAGATAAGAAGAAAAATAACGCCAGATATATTACGCTCAAATAGGAAAAAAAACCTCTGCAATTAGAAATATTTTAAATAAATGAACGTCAATTTTAACACCGGACGTTTGATGAATAATGAGGGAGCGCCTAACAGCTTACACCTAAGTAGGCCTTTCTTTGTACAAAAAAAAACTTAACGACACAAAAAACGCAACCAAAATTAATTATATAAACAAGTCATAAATAACAAGACCGCTTAGCATAAATTATCATATTAACGCTGCTTCTAATTACGGATTAACTCAAAGTGGACAAGTAACAAGCGAAGCTAACAATTTAGTGCAAGTGAAACTAGAAACCAGCGAGGATAAAGCTCAGGGTAACTGATTATTATTATTATTAGACAGGATCTTAACTGTTGAGCTTTCCACTGAACACGATCTACATATCATGCATCAAATGAATATATTATCATAGAATTATTGACTGGTTAATTCTTTTCTATCCTTTCAGAATTCAAAGAGAAACTTAATGTTTGGCTTTGTTGCAAAATTATTGTTATGCATTATTTCGCTTAATGTGTTTCACTTTCCTGTGTGAAACGATATTTATATGAAATTTGAATAGAGGGATGCAAGCATATTATTTAATACTTTAACTATTAGAGAATTGTAAAAGTTCACTTTTAAAGACTATTAACAAGATTTTTTTTTAAACAAATATCAAAATTTTAAAATTAAAAACCCGTTATCTTCGATCGTATTTTGTTTTTTATATATAAGGATTGTCTTTTGTCATTGGTATTTGTAGTCCGTGTAACGGTAAGGCAATGTCGCCTGCAGAGAATTTTGGCCGATCTGACTCTTTGTTTCGTAAATGGACGTGATCTGAACTTGATATCCTGCATCCGTTTGTTTTATCGTAAAAGATATTACATCAGCTTGCGTTCTATTTTTAAAACTATTTTCAACTTGATTGTTAAGATACGCGATAAAAATACGTGCTTTGAAGTTCTCAGTTTGAAGTAATCATGAGGATGAAGATTTTATTTTTAGCTCCACTATCAAATGAAATTAAATACATATATGTTTTGTAGAGTGGTCAAGTGAAAGAAAGAAGAAAAACATTTATTTAAATATACACACTGTACTAAAGACGCTTAAGAGACGCTAGAATAGAGAGTTCGAAATGCATATATAATAGCGATTGACGAGCAAGTGTTTTTTTTTTCATGCTATATTTGAAGAGCCGCTGTCAAATTAAAAAATATTCTCACATCTAGCAATGATTAAAAGAATCATGGCATATAATTTCGTTCTGACGTACAATGAAATGAGTAATGGCAGTATTGTATAACACGAATGATTTGTTAGCTACAAATGAAATTATAGTGCAATTTACTAAGATAATCTATAGGGTATCAGGTGATGGTTGCGCTTCAATAAATCATTACACAGCTTCGCTTTCAAGATCTCTGCGCGTAGAGCGAGTGTTAACCGCAAAACGGCTTCCTGCGTCCACTCTTTAGATTGTTCACGTGTGCGGTTTGGCTACCAGTCGGCATCTGAGCAATGGGAGAAACTCTAGGGCATAATCATTACCACAAGATTGATTTATATTCAGGTGGAATGGAATTAGAGAAAGGCGTATTCAGGCACAATAGGTAGAGCGAGTATTCAGATTAGCTCAAGATAACGTGCCAATGTGAAAACGATAAACTGGAGATAAACTTTTGTTATGTGTGTCTAAATAACAATTTGCAAAATGTTCAATGTCTATGTTAGGCTTTATAGCATTACAATTCAGGTTGACTGACTCAAAAAGAAAAATATCTTTCCAAAATGCCTTAAAATGTAAAAGAATTCTAAAGTATTAATAGAAAGTGTTGCTAGTTTAGGAATACACAAATTTGATGATATCTTTAAAAATAAACCCAAATCATAAAGACACCACGATACAATTGCATCAAAGAATTTGTGTTAAGTATGCCTTATAAGTGTCATATTATAACAATAAAAAATATTTTCAAGATAGATATCGATGGCATGACTCGCCGCGTTACACAATAAAGCACCGAAGAATGCGAGCCGCTGTTCTATTAAAGTAATTACTTCAGAGCGAAAGGCGTTTTTGTGTACATCATAACACCATCTTCCAAATTACGGTCTATGACATTAATATATGGTTTGGAAAGTAATACCGAGTAATTTGCCTGGCTGTCACATGATTGACGAGACACCCATTTGGATAATGGAACTATTTGTGTCTCATGTTTATACAAATAAAACTTTATTTGCTTTAGACTTCTTAGGGTCACTTATAAAATCAATATATATTGATTTGAATATTTATTCATTCTACATCTTTAAATTTTATGGGAGAAACTCTATTACGCTGTAGACTTCTTACGAACTTGTTGTGTGTCTGATTAAATGATTAGCTAATAGACGAAATAATCCAATGTTTGCAACGCAATTTTGTTTAAATATAAATAGTACATCGAACTACGAGTAAGCCAGAGAGGAGTTCATTCAAAGAATCGAAAGAAATATACGATTTATACAGCATGACACTAAATTACTCATATGCCAACAGAACAACTAAATCCCACAAGCGGTTACGTGTGGCCTCAAGATGATACCCGAAGGCGAAATATAAACCTGAGTGGAAATTAAATCGGATAAGTCCAGAGAGGACGCGTAAGGTTCTCCGATATTAAATACATCGATGATGCTTGGCGAACTTTCTGAAAAACAACCAGTCTCAAGCATAATATGATTCTAATTCACGATAACAAGACCATCTACAGGACGAACAATATCCAAATCAGTCAGGTTGATTATATTACTGACGAGAGATAAGCATTTAATTTAGGATATGAATAGACTTAATTTTAGTATAATGATACTTAAATTCTGATGTTAAAATCTGATTAAGGATTTCAAATGCTTTAATGTCTTGTATTTAGACGTTTCCTACTCAGAATATTATCCCTATTTCTGTTTATGTAATCACGGAGTTCACGTAGACCACCTACAGTTACAGTACTTTCTATCAGATAACGCTAGTAACGACACAATATTTTAGAGCGGACGAGATTAGTTTTTCTTATATACGGAAGTCGCTGTTTAATTTTATGTAATGCAAAATTTATAATCGATCTAGATAAACGCAGTTCCGTTTCAAAATGTCTAAAGTGAATTGCTTTCTTTCAAAGTTCAACGTTTCGTGCGCGTCCGTGTTGTGGGCGGTTCTAAGCAAAAATACAAATGTTTTGTCGTCGACCTTCGAGAACCGGTCTCTTCGAATCTATGCATTCCGAAATGGTGACATTATAATATATAGCGGTATCTTTTTACAAAAATAACGAAATCATTAAAATATTGCTTATCCGGTAATCAATACGTATGTTATCGCATTGCACTTGACTAGTTCTACCTTATCTAGATACGCGTGGTGTTTTCAATAGGTATGGGACAATCTTACTTGCTTTGAATGTGAACTCCATCAGTGAGCACATGATACCGCGAACGGCCGACTTCGTTACAGCCATACTCGAGCTCATTAAATATGTAACACCAAATTCTTATATAGGTCAACGTTTGACAACTACCCTTTGCGATGGTAACAATTAAGCATATAAAGTATATGAGTGTATGATATTGAAGCTCGTGAAGTACTGAACCGGTTTCCACCTGTTGTGGTTCATTAGAGCGCACCACTGCCTCGGGGAGACCGTTTCTATTATTGTACATCCCTAGAGGGTTCACGGCTCGTCCTATATATGCAAAGCATGATTAAAAGATTTACATGCATCTCGTGGATTGACGTCAATAGTAATTAACGCAAATTTTATTACTCTTATATTTTAATAACATCCTTAGAGAAATTACCTTACTTCTTCTTACTTTAGCTTGTCATTTTTCTTTAAACAAATTTATAAAAACTGACCCTAAAACGTTTCCATCACCTTTAGTCTCTATCGCTTTGAATGTTTAGGCAAAGGCAAATTTCCTTAACCATTAATCTCTAAAGAAGACTAAAATAGTTTCACCGAGCATAATGCTATTCTCAGTAGAGTCAAAGGCTATCGTCTATCTAACCATTCTTATGATTTTCCGAATGGCATCTTTATATAAAATAAGATACAGTAAAGCTACAGGTCGATGACAAGATTAGTTTCTATTCAAAGCGGCTTTCTAAGGCCAATTTCTCCTCGAAGTAAATTCTAGATATCTTAAATGCTTTCAAAGACTTTATCCTACTGGAATTTGTTGGACTGTTGTAGAAATTTAATTTAATTCAAACCTATGTATTTGAGAAATCGTAGCGAGTATGATAGCGTTGCCGGGCGCAGGATTTTGTTTTCAAAAATATAATCCACCAAAGTGTCAATAAAAGGGTTTTTAGAGAGACTCCTGGTCTTTTAAACATTAGAGACTGCTTGTTGTCATTTAAACATTGTTAAGATCGATACTATATGTACAACATATTTATTAAATACATAAAATTGACGTACCATATCCATAGACAACGGGTTGCATGTTACTTATGCGGACCCGTCTCTGTGATCTACTCGGCAAAGTATAATTAGCTGAGGCCGGAACGTTATCTTCTGCATAATGTCCATTGCGTGGCAAGGTACCATATATTTGACTTGGGGCATTTCTGTATACCGAGTGGTAGTTGGAATGTGCCTCCTGCGGATGCTCCGAGTTTCTAAGCCTTGAGGGTGTTGCATATTCAACATAAGCGCTATTTCTATTCGGCGTGTTCGGGTATCTTGTCTGTTCATACTGATCGAGTGCTTGGAGGCTTTGCGCCGGATATCCGTGCTGGTTAGGCTGACGCCGGTACTTATCTAGTATATCGAAAGCTCTGTGCTGTGGCGCCGAGTAACGGTCCGTTGCAAATATCTCACTAGCAGGTAATCCGGTACTGCTAGTGCTGTAATTGCTCCTATTACTTCTTACACTACTTCTTGTACTATTTCGGCCCAATGAGCCATCACTACGAACACTTAACGTCAGTTCAAGTCGTTTATCTTTCATATTGTCTGTAGGTTGTGTTGAGTTACGCTTTCTATAGTAACAAATTAATTATTATAACCGTTGAAGATTAACTATCTCGTAGCGAACGAAAGTAAAAGATTACAATGTTCTTTATGCGAAATGACTAATGATGGCCGTTGTATTAGTACATGATCACAAGACTGAGAACAAGCTGAGCGATGTCAGACTTAATTGAGGTTAAAAGTTTATTCGTAACATTGTTAGACAAAAGGTACTGTCAATTCACAGCGGCCGGAGCCTGGAGAGACGAGAACAATAAAATCTGACAGGAGAAAATTCGTGATGCCACTTCGTGAGAATAAAACGCGTGCATCGGAGAGAAATGGTAATGCTACGATAAACAAATGTTTGAATTGAACCACTTATGCAATCAATGATAATAAATAATGACGTTTTAAAAACACTTTTTCCACTAGTCACGAATTGAATAATGCATTAAAAAAAACTATAGAACACGACTTCCTTAACAAATAGTTTCCTGACCACTGGCGAAACTCGTATCGTTTTATTATTGCTGCTGATAAGATAATGTTGGTTCAATAACATGTATTATGCAGGTTGAAAATGAACTTACATCTGTTGCTGTTGAAAATTAAAAGGAACTCGGTACTTCGTATAAACAAATTACGACAGATTTTAAGAAAAAATAAATAAAGAACATGGAATTGTGAGGCCAATATTAGACTTTTGGTGAAAGCAACATAACGTTACTAACAATTGGAATGGTAATAGAGCAGATCGGGACTTCCGTGCACAACCGACTGCTTGACATGAATCACATGACAATATTTACTAAACACAATAGCGCACTTGGCCTTCAAGTGATCGACGCTTCGAGCAATATGTTATTTATCTTACAAGAAATATTATGTATTCTATTCATTAGCACCGCTTGAACACATTAATGGAGAAATACTAGCTCTGCATTATAAGTCACTTTATGATTGCTCGAAAGATAAGTTCCAAGACATTACCGAAATAAATAGTACACTACAGATAGCTATAGGAGCATGAACTAAGAATTTGAGACCAATCGAAGTCTTAAAAAAAACGTTCCGCTTACAAACACGAGTCGAATGTACGATTCGTAATGGGTATGAGTAATTTTCTATTGCATAGTTTTCCACACGCGATCAACACTGTTGTTTTAATCGAGCGCAGATAACCGCGCCAAGTTAGCTGACACACTGGTCATATGTACAATATGGCAGGTGAGCTAGATAATCGGAGATAACGCAATACCGATAACGTGCCCTCAAACATTGCGAATGAAAAACATTGCTTCATTGAGTTTTATGGAGTACATTTTAGGAATGCGAAATACGGTTCTCTATGTGTACATACAGTGATAAGAATGTCTTATCTTTTGATTTCCGTTATAACTACTTCTATAGAATGACGAATCCTTTTAAAGGTACCTTTGGTGAAATCTGTAACTATATGTTTGGCACTTTTTCACACTCAAACGGCTTGATATAACGTCGAATAACGGCCTAATGTGAATATACAATACCGAATAAGTATTGTATGTAAAGTTGCATATCGCATTGCACATTAGTCTGTCTTACAAGTACGTAACATGATTTGTTTATGCCAATAGTAAAGAGACCATCAATCATAATAAACCAACTTTCCCATTTATAAATAGAATTCGAAATTGATATTTCCTGCAAAAGTTCATGAGCAATGAGCATTAAGTTAATTTGTCGTCGTGATCCCGCGCAGTAGATGTGGTCACGACCGCGTGAAGTGTCGCAACTAGCAACGATTTATCTTAGCGCATCGTGCACAACCGATGTCACCATACACGGCGATACTTTCATATCTACGCGCTAAAGGTCTTCTTCACACAATAAACACAAATGGAACAGAGATAGCTCCCTGTACGATTCCATTGTTTTTAAGCAACTCGATACAATAATAAGATTGTTATTTTATTAACTTACCATCAGGGACGTCATCGACGGCTTCTTCGTCATCTGTCTTGTGTTCTTCGGGCTGTTCCCTCTTCTTTATCGCCTGCAAAAATGCAGTTGTTAGCAACACTTCGTAAACACTGAACGGGTAACACAAAGCATAATAAAGCATGCCACAGCCTAATCGAACGACGTTAAACACACAAACCAAAAGCTCGAATCTAAATTGAAATCTTGTTTAAAATGTCACGTTATCTTCGAACGAATCTCACCCGAGCCAGCCATCCTCCAGCCGCTTTCAAGCACCTCATTTTACTAAAGTTTGATTGAGTTGCATTGGAAAGTCGAGTTATTGTTTGATCGCGAATAGAACATTATTGGCAACAACGTGCAAGACGTTGCGAACACTACTGAGGGTCTTCGGCTGATGAGCGATGTGGTTGAGGGCCCGCGCACCAGCCCGTAACAACCGTATTCCAACAATTACCCACGCCTCAGTCGCAGAAACGACTAGACCGGAAGATTTATTGTTTATTGGCACATTTTTTAAACAAAGACTTTTTACACCGAAATTACCGCGGATCCAGAAAACGTGTAACTTCCCAAGTGTCACGCACAGTACTCCATCATAGTCATATGCGATCTCACGATTCTATTGTTTTTGCTATTCTCTAATAACGAACAAGAAATTTCAAAGTCAGCTTTTACCCTTTCGCACGTCGCCGTACGTAACGAAGTACGTTTGCTTCGCAGATAGACATCATGATGAAAAGCGGGAGATAACAATCTACTTTGCGAGCGTCAATGTGACAAAGTAATTAGCAGAAGTAAAAGGAACGGAACAATACGCAGTATGCAGTAGGATTTTCTTCGTTACGAGCGTTTAATTCATATATCCAACAAATAATAATTCTAACGTGATTTGAACTGCCGTTTCGGAATCTAATGGCATTTGATTTCAAACAATCTACACCTTAATACAGCATAATGATTGATAGAAAGCTCATTCTTCTACGAATAGCCAAACTTTAATATCAACAATTGGACACACTTAAGCCATTATTGTTTTTTGTAATTTCCAATAAAGCGATTATATTGACTTTCTGGCTTAAATGGGAAATAAGTTTAAATTGCATTTAGAAAGCACGACACAAATTTCACGCAAAAAATAAATAGTACTTAATAAATTTAAACAAAACACTTTTAAAGATTTAAAAAGTAAAATATATTAGTTAACTTATTTACAGTTTATTTTAACTACGGCCTCCCCAGTGACTATGGCTGCTGCAAAGCGTCCGAAACATCGGGTCGTAGTTAAAATTGTAAACAAGTTGACGAATAGCAAAATATAAGTTTGAAGCGTTTTATTTAAGTGTGTTTTACGTAAACTAACAACAGTAGGTACTTAACAAAAATATGTTTTACTATTGAAAGATCAAAAACCAAGTGCTATATGTCAAGTGCATAAGAAAGAGTTAGAACAATGATTATCTCTTACGAACGCCGTTATAACATCCCGCAAAAAAGGTTGGATGTTTAGAACGAATGCGACGAGTATTGTGAGCATTCTTTTTTGTGTTCGAATGAGATATAGTATGACCCGTATTCCATTATCATAAACGTTTATGTTTTTGTTCTTCTAAATCTTATAGGAATTTAAAAAATTATATAAGATTATTTCATACTTTTTTAAATAAGCAAGTACAGAGTTTTGATTTAACACAAAAGGATTGTTAACGTAAGTTGAGACACATGAGTTTTGTATTGCTTAGAATTTTGGATGAACATTGGAATAAAAAAAAAAGCACAAGAACCGGCAAGAAAGTACTGAGCATAAGCATTTGAAATTATATTTTGGGTTAAACATAAAATATATGCATTATTTTTTTAGGGTATATTATTGTTTTTTTTTTTTTAATTTTTATATTATAAATAATTACAGCGATTCTTCATATGTTAAAAATGACGTAGTCTGGAATTAGAGTATACTATAATTTAATTTACCATTGGTAGCCTGGAATAGCCATTTTTAGTCTTTGACAGTTGTGTCTAAAGTAAATTGCAATAATGTAATACAGGTCTTTAGCGTGCAACGCATGCAAGGTGGACACCTGAGCAATAATTTCCCTGGCTCGTCCCGCGTCCACTTGGTTGATGCGTTTGTTCTTCAAGTGGTGGGGGGTATCCCGGCGATGGAGCCGACCCCCCACCTGCTGGCTAGCCCCCCTGTCCGAAACCCCACGCCACGCTACCCGCCTGCCGGCCCGCTAAACCAACACCCAGGGTTAATCAAGCTAATATTAATATCTATATTTAACTTATAGAGGTCAGATTATTTTCAGTCCGAAGCAGTACTGGAGTAACTTTATATGCTCACACTAATATCAATACACCATAAATACACTAGTTTATTTTTCTTTATATGTGTATTTGTTTGCAAATTTGTTAACGGTCTAACTCTATGTTGCAATCAATCATATACAGTTTAAATGAAATCGAGCTTGAAAATCTAATTTCCCATAATTGCATGATAATGTTAAAGAAAATACCTAATTATTGGCCGTCTTTGAGAAAGTAAATCCGACCCCATTTGACGTTAATAAACTACTGTTCAACTAACTTTCCCTGGTTTATTAGTAGCGAAGCGGTTAGTGTTTATTAGTTTTTAATATTTCTAGGATAAGAGGATTATTTTAGTAATAACACTACATCAAATTTAAACAATACGCATGTTTAAAACAGTAATACGATTAACTATAACAATTTGAGACAAAACTCAAACTGTACCTGTTTTGTTATCGTACAATGTTTTCTATAAAACACATTATGTTTTTACGCATATAACCCTCTCATAAAAATATTAATAATATTTCTATCTCTTACTAGCGTGTACAAAAAGTGAATTTCGGATCTTATAAAAGGAACTAGCTATCTTTATATAATATAAGCTGTACTCACAACATATAGTGTCGCGGACAGTTTTTCAGATCATTTAAAAAGGAATCATACTTCCATATTTTTTGGGTATCTGAGCATACGCATCGGAAACCCACAGAGATAAATAATTTCCCCCGTTTTTTTCCACATGCCTATAGCCTTCCTCGATAAATGCTCAACACAAAAAGATTTTATTCGAACCAGTCGTACGTGAGATACGCGTTCAAACAAACAAACAAACTCTTCAGCTATGTATATTAGTATAAATAAAGTGTGATCTACCTCTAGTTCGTCGGAATCTTCATTGTCGTAGTTTTCACCATCGGAGGATTCCTTGTCTTGCGCTGTCTGGCTATCGCTGTCGTCATCTTGCGTTGTCTCCGCTACTATATGTTGTTGCTGAGGTATCGGTGGCTATGAAAAAGCCATACAAACAACATTACAGACAAAAATATGTAATTTTCAAGAAATTTTAGGCCTAATAGTCTAGTAGATTATTTTTATTTTTATGATAGAGCAGTAGAGACAAGTATGGGTTAACTTAATGGTAGGTGAAATAGCGCTGTCGACTTATTTTCGCTTTGGATAGTCTGTATTCCAATAAAATCGAAACGCTATTAAACTTGTCGGCTTATCCATTTATGGATTGTGGGTCGTGACCTGGACGGGACATCGATATTCATCCACCATTTAATATCCAGATTTCCAGTTTCTTATTTTAAAGTGGACTTCAACAGAAAAATCATAAATTTATGAGAATAATGTTGAATGTTTATTAACCATATACACCAACGAGGCCATCGAAGTATTTTAGTTTTTTCATTACTTTAATCAGAAGTTAAATACACTAGATACATACTTCTATAATTTCCGTCACCGTTTGTACAATTTCCGGTGAAGAGATGATTCCATTCGTAGTCGGGATTTCGTTCAGCGGCGGTTGTTCCGGAGTTCTTGTGAATAGTTTAACCGCTTTCGCCTTAAGCTCCCGCGGGTGAGGTGTGTTTTGACGGACAAACGGTGTCTGTTAGAAAAGGCATACTTTTAATAAATCTTATTATAACTTAATTTATTAAATAACTTTTAAGTACAGTTTTAGTGTTTCCTTAGTACAAAATACAGTTGTGACGAAAGAGCACAAAACCTTTGAAGGTATGATGATAGTGAGATATTTTCTTAATCATGTAATAATTTTAATCAGATAACTAAATATATAAGAACTACATGCTCATGCTTAGAAAAAAACACTATAATGGTTAATTAAATACTATCTATAGTTTACGTGAGTAGTACACATTTAAATAAAACACTTTAACGGTTTAAAACGCGATATATTAGTTAAACTTATTTAAAAATATTTTTTTAACTTCGGCCCGACGTTGCAGCTGCTGCATATCTCATATATATATCGCGTTGTAAATTTAAGTGTTTTATTTAAATATAATGGTTAATGACAATTTCAGCAAAAGTATAATAGGTCTGAAAATGTTGTTACTAGATTGTGTAAGGCTTAAAGGCCATCGTTCAGCATATCATTGATTTTTCGGCAATTTGATCTAACTCTTTAAGCAATCGAGGAGCTAACATCTCCTGATGATGCCGTCCGCTCGTGATGGCGAAACATCGAGAACCTCTTCTCGCTCACATCGGCCGAATAGCCCGAAAGACAATGATATACAGTATGTTGTAACTATTATAATTTTGCCAGTCTACACTACAATACACATTGTAAATAGCGTTGTTGGATGTAGAACAACACTTATATTAATACTCAAAACAGGGTACGATGTTCAAGATGATGTCCAATTAGACTACTAACAAAATTGTCCTCAACTTAAAAACAAAAAAATAAACAATATCTATTTCATTGGTAAACCTATATATTACTCTAGTTCAGGAAGCCGTGACCTCTATGCCCACAAAAAATTATAATTGTAGTTAGGCCTATTAAGCATCAAATGGAATAAGGCGTGAATCACAGGATATGATATCACACGACAGTTCACCTCGACGCAGCTAGGACGTCTTTGGACAATGTAATCCATTTTAAGTGCAGTGCAAATAGTGAGTGCTGATAAAGAACGAAACTGCAAAAGCTATGGAATATTTCACAGGTATGTTAAAGATTTAACTATATGTACATCCATCGTAGTGATCTATAATTTGTTCACAGGTACAATGAAATAGTAATCGAACTATAAGGTATGTCAACTATTTTGTGAATAAAGAGCATGACAATGTTAACAATAAAATGCATGCGTTCGTTTTACATAACCGTGTTCACACTACATTGTAAACCTACAAGCCTAGAGGTAATATTACGAAATATTAAAATTTTTACTAGGCACTTTTACGATTTTCGTTGCGTAAATTCTAGGTAGCTTCGAAATCATACATTGCTAATAACTAATGCATCGTGGAGGCAGCGTATACAGGTTGCGAGTGCATTCACAAGAGGTTAGTATAATCGTCATCTAACATCCAAAAAGGTTTTATTGTCATCCGAAAAACTTTTAACCAAAACCACAGAGCATAGACCACGAGCAGCTAGTGAACATTCCCACCGTTCATAGGACCAATTCAAAGAACGTAATAGGAAGCTATCGATCAATACTTACGACCAATGCGAAATTGCATTGACCACAGTGTAGTTAAGATGTTGACTGAAATTATACGAAAGAAAAGTAAAAACTTAAAACACGAATACTACTTCAAATTGTGTACCCATTGGGAATATTATGTTTATTTATCATTTGCCCAAAATTGGACCCAATTAGCTTTTACAACCCCGTTTGTATGTCACAATGGAGTACGTTTATGGACAAATTAAATTTGTATTTCAATTAATAAAGTTAATATTAAGTCCCATACAGGCGTGTTACAGATAATAACGCGACACCAAGCACTTGAACGGGTTCTGTACATTCGTGTAGACATTGTGTACAATTGTGAATGCACTCCTAGGTGTGTACCTCAGCGAGGTTAGTTATAGAGGAAGATAGCTTCTGCAGCGAACTTCTCCGCTGTGTGGTGACAAGCTTGCGAACAACATTTAACGGCCGTCTCAACCCTAGCATCTGCGTGCCGAAGAACGAATCGGACGCCACCTCACAGTCCTCCTGTATCGATGCCACCTTGAAACCAAAGAATCTCGTCTCGAAGAATGTCGTCGTGCCTTTACAAGCTTCTTTACTTGTGTTAAATACATAAATAAATCATTTGAAACTGAAATAAAGTAATCATTTTGTTTGGTTGTACATTTTTTCACTCAGTAAACACAGGCGCGGTGAAATTTGACTATAATGGCTATAATACAGAATATACAAGTTACTATGCGATAAAGCCATTTGTATTTACATATAGTTATTTGATATTGTTTGGTTAATACTATAGCTAGCCTTTTGCATATCGTTCAATAATTAGAATAAATAAAATCTTAGTTATGTTGTCACCCATTTTCATTTAATAACAATTATTATATCTGTTACATCGATTATCCATGTTTTAAATTCTAACATAAGAAATAACTAACATTTAACGTAGCCTATCCTAGATTCGTTATACAATTATGCATGCGGTTAAAATAAAACATAAAAACAAACTTTGCGCAATTTTATTGAATAAAATAATAAATAAAATTGGCTCGACAAAAATAACATTTCAAACATAAAAATCACAAGAATATACACAACCAACGAATAAATAATACGGTCAATACAACACAGTGCACATAATACAAGTAATATTTTATGGTATTTATTCCAACGCTACTAATATAGAGCTGAGTGCTAAATATGCTCTATGTCTAGACATTACATTATTTCCCGACCAATCTCTAAAGCTCCTATATCGATCTCTTAACCTGTGACTTGTGTTGCGCACGCACAGCGGTATATCGATACCGAAAGATCTATGCGGGCGTTTAAACCGAAATATTCGTTTTGATAGAAAGGGACAACAGCATATGCTCACCTCTTTCGCTTCGGGCACGTCTTCCGTGAATTTTACGGATATGGTGCGCGATGCTTCCTTCTCTTCCCAATCGTCGTCAGAGTCGCGGTCTCGTGAAAATGTTGATTCTGTCAATTTCATACAAAATTAAATCTTATAGACTAAGCATCCGGCCACACTCACGAAAACTCATACCAAACTAGGGGACGCCACATTAAAACTATTACTTCTTCTACTGAAATATACAATTAACAAATTGCTTGTCAAAACACATCCCAACAGGGAAAGCACACAAAATATTAACGAAATACAGTATGGGGAGTGTGTGAGTAGTAACTGTATATGTATACTTTGTATAACATAAAATGTCATTTACGCATAATGTTCGAAATAATAACTAACTACTGTTGAATATCTCTAAAAACTACAGTGTTCTAAAGCAGCAAAGTGATAAAGAAACAAAGTGTATTCAGCATGGCAGAAACGCAAAAAAAAAAAATTTTGTGTAGACCAATTGTACGGGACTGTATAGCGTACACTAAACTATATTATAACCGGTTGTCTTGATGGTTTGGAAATAAAACTACCAGTACGTTGCCGCTAACGAATATGTCGCTATGCCACGACATCCGATTGCCACGCTACTGCTACGCGCCTTTATCTTGCGCACAAAATATGAAAACGAAAAGTGTAAACGGCCGCGTTAACTATCTTTCAATATAATGCGAAGTACTTGCGACGCGAACCGTGAGAGGAGCGGCGTCTATGGGCAAAGTACTCGCGATGCGTGCCGTGTCGATGTTAGAAGTGAACTAGTTTGGCCTGCTCCCAGAGCCCTCTTTTATGGTACATTATTCCAGTCATAAGAGAGAGAAATGGGTTGCAGGTATTGAGTGTAGCGTGGGGTCGGATTCATGGGAAACAAACACTTTATTGTTTTAGAGCAAATACTTAAACTAATGCGTGACGATTTCTTACGTTTGTCAACGCTTAAACTAACGTAACTTATCCAATAACGCAGTCAATAAATTGTACCTTTCTAAAGTGGATACAAAACAAAGGGTCTATTTAGTGTTACAATTTATGGCCGTACAACGCATTTCTAATGTTTTAAGTATAATGAATATTTATTTATTTATATGCTCTCAATAATATTACTATGCTTTAAACCTAACGCGAGCTGTCCGGAACATTCTCCCGCCGTGCGTCGCTCGGTTGTCTTTGACCGACGACGCATCGTCTCCATGGTGAAGGATGGCCCCGTCAGTTGGTAAAATAATTGGTTTTCTAGCCGGCCGTTCTGGGATGCTCTCAGTTATCGGATCCGCTACGTTAATGACACCTTCTCGACTTGGGAATGTGTCGGCGACTATGTCAGATGTCCACTTCTTGTAAAGCAAGCAATTGTCGCTTGTTAAGTCCACAAAACCTAGCTTTACTTTTCCCGTATCGTGGGGCTCCCGCTGGTATTGTACCTGCACACGAGAGTTTCGCTGGATCCTTTTCTTTATCGAGTACGCTTTCCACTTACGAACCATTTCTTCTCGTTTCCAATTGGAACGATGTTTGCTGGAAAGACATTTTAATAGCTTCAGTCTTTTCCTCTTTACGATCATAGAAACTCTGTTTTTCCCCTTTGCACGTTGTCCAAACACGTTGATACCTTTAGTGCGTATTATAATTTTCCCGATTGACTCTTGCTTGTGACGTTTAAAAACCATGCTATTGAATTGGCTTCTTAATGGACTCTTGACCATTGGGTTTAGTTGCAAATTGGGACGCTTCACTTGATCATCGTTTATAGAGACGCCTTTATAACTTGTTGACATATCGGCTTGTCCTAAACGAACCTTTACACGTGTAGTTTGTTCCACGATTACGATGTTATTTACGTTACCAATTGCGACATCTTCAACAAGATTCTTATAAGTATTAGTGTCTATTTTTATTTCTTGTTGGTATCTCGTTTGAAGTTGTGAGACACGATCTGACTGTATTTCCATCGCTTGATTTGATACTTTTGTGAGCGATGTTACAAGTTTCAGGATGGCTGGCGTTACTGTGATTTTGCTTTGTCGTTTCGAAAATCCCATCTACCTCTTGATGCGTGTGCTGTTTGAGGAGACATTGAGCCTTTTCGTTTAGATCGTTATTAAGCTTCCGCGACGTTGCGACGACGGTTTCTATAATGCTAATATCGTTATTCTCGTTACTTAGGTGTAATAACGCATGATGGCTCTGTTGACACTCGTCGACGCCACACTGAATAGTCGGGCACTTGTGATTTGTTGATCTCAGTTTCAAGCACCTAAAACATAACCACTTTTCTTTCGCTTTTGCCCACCGTTTATCTACAGTCAACTCATTAAAAACTAAACACTTATTCACAGTATGTCCGTTTTTGTCACAAATAACACAATTGTTACGCACTCTCAGGTCTTTGATCACGTAGACTTGTTGCAACTTCGCTTGAGGTTTTTCTGACTCGAAGTTTGATTCGGGTCGCGCAAAGGGTGCACAGTTCTCTGCTTCTATACACAAGAATCGCTTTAACTTTAGTAAATCTGCCTCTTGTTTCGGTTGCTGTGCCGCATATGCAAAAAATCGATGCTGAAGCGTCGGCGACAATTTTTCTACCGTAGATATTGTTATTTCTGGGTTATAGAGATAATATATCTTCCCTAAAGCTTCCAAGCTACATACTATGTTACAAAATCTACTTGTAAACATACATAAATCTCTCGGCGTGTTACCCGGTTTTGGCAAATTTCTTAATGATTCTAATTCGGTAATCGCTATTGCGTCGGGTCGACCGAAACGAGACTCTAATAATCTCATAATTTCTTCCGGATTGGTGTGGTATATAAGCAGACTTCTCACAGCTTCTTTCGCTTTACCCACAAGGCATCTTCTGAGACGAGCAATATTTTCTACGTCACTTAAATGTCTTGCCGTTTGTCTATATGCTGATTGAAACGCTAGCCACTCACTGTGTGATCCGTTAAATCTCGGAAGATCGAGGTTATGCTGACACATCATTTCAGCTGGTTGAATAGCTGCCATAATAGCGGAGGCCAGTTTGGATAAGTCACTCTCGCTTTCTTGCGCAGCTCCCGCCAGTGAACTTGTACCACCGTTTGTTTTGCTATCCAATGGATCTTCGTTTGGGGTGTTTCCTTCCAACGAAGACATTTTCTGCTGTAGCTTCATTAACTCCAAACGCAGTTGGAGGAGTTCTTCTTCCTTTGACTGTTCTTCCATATTTGAAACAGGCGAAGTCGAGCGTGTGCTGATATACGAGATGTCGGCGAGTGCGTACATATTTGCGATGCGATTCGTCCCCGAAAAGTAGCTCACTTGCAACTCTATTGGAGCTATACCTCAACGGGCTATGCGAATCTCTTGCAGGGGGCTTCTTCACTATAGCCACCCTGTCACCGCGGTGCGGCTGTGCCAAAAGGCATTTTAACAATCACAAACTAATCAAAACGATCCGGGCCGAAGGACCATTAATGTACGGGACTGTATAGCGTACACTAAACTATATTATAACCGGTTGTCTTGATGGTTTGGAAATAAAACTACCAGTACGTTGCCGCTAACGAATATGTCGCTATGCCACGACATCCGATTGCCACGCTACTGCTACGCGCCTTTATCTTGCGCACAAAATATGAAAACGAAAAGTGTAAACGGCCGCGTTAACTATCTTTCAATATAATGCGAAGTACTTGCGACGCGAACCGTGAGAGGAGCGGCGTCTATGGGCAAAGTACTCGCGATGCGTGCCGTGTCGATGTTAGAAGTGAACTAGTTTGGCCTGCTCCCAGAGCCCTCTTTTATGGTACATTATTCCAGTCATAAGAGAGAGAAATGGGTTGCAGGTATTGAGTGTAGCGTGGGGTCGGATTCATGGGAAACAAACACTTTATTGTTTTAGAGCAAATACTTAAACTAATGCGTGACGATTTCTTACGTTTGTCAACGCTTAAACTAACGTAACTTATCCAATAACGCAGTCAATAAATTGTACCTTTCTAAAGTGGATACAAAACAAAGGGTCTATTTAGTGTTACAATTTATGGCCGTACAACGCATTTCTAATGTTTTAAGTATAATGAATATTTATTTATTTATATGCTCTCAATAATATTACTATGCTTTAAACCTAACGCGAGCTGTCCGGAACACCAATAATGTCGACAGTATATTTCGATCATCAATAGCAAATACAGACTATAATGGACAAAATATTAAATTCTTTATATATAAAAGAAACATCAATCCATTGATTGAAGAAATTGAATATTCACATTAAAATGTCAAATCTCAGTAGAATGTCAAAAATGACAATTCACAGCCGCGTCGGTGTTGCCAGACATAAAATGCGTTTTTGCCATTACCAGTGTATTTAGATTACTTACCTCTTATCCTATCAAGCTCCTGCGACTGTGAATTAAATCTGTGTTCCCTGAACCACGTGCCACTGCCGACCTCTGACGTGTGTTCCAACTCTATGTGTGTTGTGTCAAAAGTGACGTTAATATTTACACAGCAAACAAAATAGAACACCAACCAATGCCTTTTCACAATGACATAAATATATGATATTACAAAAAGCAAATCCATGCAGTCAAGAATATTCTTGGCTCTTAGAATTACAACTAATCACTGCGAAGTAGCTTTTGGTTCAAGTTTCAGAATTTATCAACTCATTGTGTACTGACATTGGTGTTCGCACAATTAAAGAAAAGCACAATAAGCAAAAAATAGGACTAAAACAATTGCACTGGAGTTCGTTGTCCATTTAACGTTTACACGAGGTGTAGGACGTGAGTGTTGTCCTTATATGAGTGAAACATAACATACCCTTATAAAAATGTAGTCTAAAGAATAGGTAGTAATTTGAAAACAAAGGAGATCAAAATCTCGTTTATTATAATTAAAAGCAAAGTAAACCTTTTCTTTAGACGCTTGAAACATAAAAAAGCAATCAAAGCTTGAACCGTAATTATCATAACTCTATTTTAATGCAGTTTTGACTAACAGAAACGATAGCAATTTTCAATTCTATAAATTAATCTTTTATGATAAGTACCCCAACAGCAAAGCAGCGATATAACTTTTTTTGATAAAATATCTAATAGATGGCGCTGATAACCAATAATTTAACGATGACGACTTTTTTATATCTGTAGCGATTATAAACACCACCTGCTATTCTAGAACTAAATGCAATAATCCATTCCGATAATATAGACTCTTCATACCTGGCTGTTGCGTGTAACTAAGCTGAGGTAGAAGGAAGCATGTCAATACGTTTTCGCCTGTTGTTTCGTCTCTGTCGGTTTGGAAAGTCAATAGCGGCTGCGCCTGATTCTCCGACAGCCACACAGCTTTTAATTCCAAGTTAACTAGTGTGTATGGAAGATATTGTAATCTGGAATGAAATATAAGTATTTAATGTTTAACGGTAATTGTTTAATGGTAATACATGTTGATTAAACATATTATTGTTAGTTTAAAAAATTGTATCATTTTAATGATTAACGTAAAACAATAATGAAGTAATAAGAAGTCTTATTTTTTTTATTAAACTACTAGTGTAAACAACTACATCTACTAAACACAGTGAATACCGCATATTTAAGAGGGATATTTACATATTATGTATGTGTGAAGAACATTATTATTTTACTATGAAACCTATTATGCAAGTCTACCCATCTCTTATGAAGTTATTACGAGGCACTTTTTGTCACAAAAATGTCAACATAAGGAATTAGCGAAAACAACTACTAGATTCAGAAGTCTTTCTTAAAAGGTCACTTACCGATTACCGCTAACATCTAAAACATGGAGGGATTTACAATTTCCTAGTTCATTTGGCAACTTGGTGAGTTTGTTGTCTCGCAAACTAAGCACTCCTAGTACAGTCATATTTCCGATCTCAGCTGGTATATCGCCCAAGGAGTTCCTATCAACATTTAGGACTGTCAACTCGTTCAGGTTTCCGATAGATCTAGGTAGCTCCGTGAGGAAATTCTCAGTCAAAATAAGCTCTTGTAGATTTGTACACCTGAAAAAATCAAAGGGAGATTAACAACAATCTTTCAAAAGCTTTGTGTCGCGGAAAATTTTACACAATTACTACTTAGCACTCTATGTTCTAGCAGCGGTAAAACTGTAGTGTTGCCAAAAAATTAAATAAAGGTAAAACTGCAAATTTCTAGAAATCATCGTTGTTGGAAGGAAATAAATCCTCTCACATAAGACACCTATATCAATTTAAGGATGATTCAAACTTCTAGGGCAAAAGAATATCAATAGGTAGGTTTTAAAGTAAATCGTGTTCAGACAAATAAACTCTCCAAATCTTTACAATATTAGTAATTTAAATAAAACACTTTAACGGTTTAAAACGCGATATATTAGTTAAACTTATTTGGAAATGACGTTACGTGCTATGCAGCAGCCGTAGTCACGGCTTCGTCCAAATAAGTTTAACTAATATATCGCGTTTTAAACAGTAAAAGTGTAAAACATAATTTTATTTAAAGGTGTACTACTCGCGTAAACTATAGACAGTATTTAATATTAGTAGTTTTAAGTAAAACCATGGAAATTTTAATCTTATGCTATAGAGTTGCACACTATAGGTGCAATATTTTAAATTATGAAATAAGTGCAATTTTTCTCTGGAATATATTTGTATATGAAAAATATACATACCTTCCTACATTCTCATTTAATGTATGCAGTCTGTTTTGGTCCAACTTCAATATAGCTAATTTACCAAGACTCCCCGTACCATTTGGTACACTCTCTAGCATATTTTGAGATAAATGCAAGTCCGTGAGGGAGCATAATCCGCCAATTTCTTCCGGGATTTTTTCGAGCTTATTTTCGCTAACGTCCAAACATATTAAAGCTTTCAGGTTACCGATCTCCGACGGTAAGTACTGCAGTTTGTTATGATCGAGCCATAACTCTTGAAGGGCGGGAAGCTCACCAATAAACCCAGGCTTTAAAAAAAGATTAACAATTAAACATTTACACACGGTTTCAAATGAAACTAAACAGAATAGATTAATAAATAATCTTACCAAAGTTTCTATTTCGTTATCACCTAGATCTAATCTTTCTAGCTTAGTTAGATTTTTCAACGACTCAGGCAGGGATTTCAATAAATTTTCTCTTAACTCCAATGATTGGAGTGACACCAAGCTGAAAAAAATAAACATTTATAACTAAGTACAACTTTGATCCTGGTCACGTTACTTCAGTTTCAGCTAAACTAAAACATGAATCTGACACGAAACCAAGTGAGTAAATGAATTTATTTTCACATAGGTATACACAAAGTTAAGTTCGATTCCCACCTGGATTTTTCTTAATAATTAATATTTATCTTAAACATGTTAGACGTCTGGAAATCTGGATATTAAATGGGCGGTAGAAATTCCAAAATACCGTCCAGGTCAAGAACCACCGTCAGATGACACAGCCGTTAAGTTTAATCGTGTTTCAGTTTTAGTCTGTGGCTTTGCGAAAGCCAAAAATAGATCGAAGGCGCATCTTGTTGCTTTGCTATCGTCCTCAATCATAGAAAAGTAGAGCAACTATGACTTGGTGCAATAATACTGGGGCCTTCCAACAAGCGACGAATTTGTCACAAAAAATCTTCGTCCGTTATTGATAAATTTAACCTTTAGATACGTCATGTCGCGTCGGATTTATCAGCGTTATTTGTTTGCAAACAGGTTTCCATTGGGTCAACGTATTTTGCACAACGATGTTATCATTGAGAAATGACTCATCCACAGAAAACACGGAGAAGCAATATGAAGAATCGAAAGTTCTGAGAGCACGATTATTTATTCCCACAAAAGAAAGGTATCAAAAGTAGACTTTGTACAATGGTCATGGAACCGAACAATAGATGACTAATCCATAGTCACAAGCGAGGCTAAATGGATAAGTGAATAACAAGTTGACAAGTGGATTACGCGAATATCTTGAGACAATTTGGTTACGCCCAAACATCTGTACTTATAATGTTAAGGTTACTTAGAGTGGGCTGTTACAACCTGTCTGTTGTCATATATTACGTCACAAAATAAAACACTTTTAATGGTTTAAAACGCGATATATTAGTTAAACTTGTTTTAAGAAAATGATGTCCAAATAAGTTTAACTAATATATCGCGTTTTAAACCGTTAAAGTGTTTTATTTAAATGTGTACTACTCGCGTAAATTATAGACATGCTTCTCTAAGTAAAACTTTATCGGCGCTATTTGTTAACCCGCCGTAACCCGTGATGTGCATACAAAACCTCAGATCTAATAATTATTTTCTTTTTAAAACGGTTATTGGTTATGTGTATAATGTAACTACAGACAATATTTACGTATCCGTAAAGTTGAAACAAGCCTTAGTTTATTCGTTGTAATTAAGATTCAATGCTAATGTATATAGTAAATAGGATTTTGTTTACTTTCCCAGTACTTTACTTGAAACCTTGACATAACATTCTTAAGCGAGTAAGTCGAACGATAAAAATCAATATCATCTTATTAATGACATTTGCATATGTGGGCTTAATTAAGAAACCATATCAATCGTAGGTGCGAGCGCTTTAATAACACAGATTTCGTTAAGAATGTTCCAGAGACTTTTTAAACCGCTTATAAGGTAGTGAAATTCAACATGGGACAGACACACTATTGCGTCCGTTTCACTGGTACCCTTTTCACGCTTAACGTAAAGTAAGGCGACATATATTACAACTAAGCAGAGGGGTTCTGAAATATGTTACATTTAAATGAAACACCTTTGACGGTTTAAAACACGAAATATATTAAACTTAATTTTTATTTCTTTAAAGTACGACTCTACGTTTTGGACGCTCTACAATAAACATAGTCACTGGCGGACTATCACTTTAAGAACCGGTTCGCGTTTAAAACCGTTAAAATTATTTCAAAATGTCTCATACTCGCGTAAATATAGCTTATATATATATCTTTATTAATTTATTTCATTATTCAAAGAATAGAAATTAAAAGTTTTATCGGTTGACCCGATTTCAAACTCTCATTAATATGACACCGCATATCGTAAAAGAGCTTGGAAAGAAAAATTAGGTTTATTACTGTTGTTAATTGCGAAGTTACGAGTAACTTGTAAGAATGCGTTTATCGTCGCGCTGCAAAACACTTTGATTAGTCATGCGGTGTACGTTTTTATTGCGGACCTAAGAATTCTGATCACAAATAGTAAAATCAACAGCGCACGAGATTCAAATAGAAATATATGAATGTTAATCTGTAATGTCAATCAATGATACATTATCGCGCCGTTTCCGTATATATAACGGATCCAATGTAAAAACACGCTTCTCTTAAAAAAGGACAACCGTTATTAATGGAATTTTGTTAATCTATAAAACGTTATCTTAAGAGCGTATTACACGAATGACAAATATGTGTAACTGTATCCTACATATTAATTAGATCTCATTATTTATATATCGTATTGGCTCCGGGGATCAAACGCAAATGAATCTAGGTTCAAACCCGGGAGAAAATAATTGTTTTTGTTGCCATGAAATATAGTATTCTGTTTATTTCTTAGATTCGTAAAACGTTTCCAATTAAATAGCTCAATAGATTAGCTTTAAATACTGGGAAAATGACAACCACGATTTATCCGGCTACAAGACGCCAGATGAATCAGTGAAACTAAACATTAGTTTTTCATTTGCGTGACATGTATTACAATTATATAATTGATCGTAACAATTAGTAACAAAAAAATTAAGGTTGCAGGTTCGATAAAAACATAACACATTGATAACAGGGCTGTGGGCACGCCCTGCATACCTGTACTTATCGCGTTTATTGCTTTACAACATTATTACACTATTTGGTCTTTAAGCGCACGCGATAAAGTTCATTTTTAGAATACTCGTTCTCTTGCGGTTGATGGGTTAAATTAATCGGACATTTTATACATCGCACAATGTCAAAGTGTCCTGAATAGCGTTGCAATTTGTATGGGTTATGCGAGTTGTTTCGCCAATAACTGGTTTTACCGAAAAGCAAAGGTTACTAGTATATGTGCAGTTCGCCTTGGCTAACGGGATGACAATAAATTATTCTAGAGTTGTAACCTAATTCTCGTGTACCTACAATTGAAGGTCGAACGGGGGAAACCCCTTTTAACAAAGACATTTTTAGGGGCGACATACTTAGTGATATGTATTTAAAGAAGAATAAATACATACTGAGATAGAAAAAATAATATGATAAATAAAACAATTTAAACAGTTTAAATACAAACTAAGTAAATAATTATAGAGAGAGAAATATTTTTTATTATTTATTATAACCCACACAAAAACAGATATAAGACTTATCACTAAGCATTAAAGTAAAAGATAACTGAATCTTAACAGTATAACATAATTGTGTGCTGCTAGTAGGTATATAGGTGTGTGACCTTTGACCTGAAACTGATTTTCAGGAAGTCCTCTACTACTCCGTAATGTTAGTTCGTGTTCAAACCGTTCAATCTGATTTATTTGTTATGTACCACACGCCTATAATACAGATACACTATGTAATATATATACTTTTTATACAGTATAAAGTAATCGTTAAAATACTGTCTATAGTTTACGCGAGTAGTACACATTTAAATAAAACACGTTAACGGTTTAAAACGCGATATATTAGTGACCCTCCCCGTGACCACGACTGCTGCAAAGCATCCGAAATGTCGGGCCGAAGTTAAAAATCATTTTCAAATAAGTTTAACTAATATATCGCGTTTTAAACCGTTAAAGTGTTTCATTTAAATCGTTAAAATACTTTTCCGAAAACTTGGCAACACAGTACTCGGAAAAACAATCTTGCAACAACTACGTGAAAGCAATGTATGCAAAATGTATCGTTTCGTTTGGAGCGAAATGTTTCCATTTACTGTAATATGTATGAGTGGGCTCGATAAGCTTATAGACCTTCCAGACGGCTAAACGAAGTTTTGAACGACGACTCTACATGGGAACTGGAATATATATACAAGGGTTCCTATTATGCTAAGGAATCTGCATTTCAAATACTTATAGAATTTTTTAAGTATATATATTTTGATTGACAAAGCGTAAGTTTATTTGAATGGAAGGTGAAATATCGCTCTATAACATCGAAATCAGATGTACCCACACCTTCGGCCATTTGCAAATCCTCAAAATAACACCAAAACACTGAAATAAAAAGTACTTCACACCTATCTCTAAGATGTTAGTGGTCTCGACCACCCATTAATTCAGTGTCATTTTTCGTGAAGGCGTTTTTTTTTTCGAAATTAAAAAAAATCGAACCCACGAATATAAGTAATGCTAGTAATTTGATAACCGATTTTGTACTCGTAATGACAACACGTGTTTTTCAAATAATTAAATGTTTTTGTTAATATAAATCTTAATACGCGTTGCCGAAACAAAATCCGGGCAAAGTAGTAGAGCAAAACGTAATGTGTTTAAGTTAACGACTCGAAGAAAGGCCCGAGGCAGTTAGTTTTCATCGAACTTTCGCTTTCATCTGCATTTGTAGAGCTTGACTACAACTTTTTACTAAAATATGGTTCTGTCCGAACTCGTGATTAATAGTACATACGCGACGATAATTCGTGTCCGACGTTTACCGAAATTTATGTGTCCGAATATACTTTAACTTGACTATAGCTTTTTCATCTGTAGACAGTTATTCGTGACCCGGACGGAACATCGATGTCCTACCTTCCACTATTCCAGACATAGCCTAGCATTTGTCATTTGAAACGAACCTACGTTCCGTTATTAGCGATACACTATATGTTGCTAACATTGGACAAACCACTATGAACAAGTAGACAACACAACGACACGATAGAGCAGAGGTAGAGATATCCTAAAATTCCGCGTGTTACGTTGTTTAAATAGATTACGTCATATCTCACCTGCCAAAGTCGCTCGGTAGGCTCGTGAGTGACATATCATTGAGGCCGAGAACGGTGAGTGCTCGCAACTGGCTGAAGCCGGCCGGTAAACGAGGTATGGGGTTGCTGCTGAAGTCCGCGATCTGGAGTGCTCGCAGCTTCTTGATGTCTTCCGGGATATCGGGAATGTCTGGAATTAAATTATTTCACCATGTTATATAATAATTAATTCTATTGTATTAAAAAAAAAATAACGTTAGTTAGACAAGGCATAAGCAAAGTATTTTGACAACAAACAACAAGCCTCCGATCAAAAATTTTAAAAGGGTAAAATATTGAAAGTTTATGAAAGCTCGAGAGCCTGGTTTGCTGATTGGGTTATAATATAGAATAACTTAACAAAGCGTTTAGAAGAACGCTACTGTCATTTAGTGGGTGTAAAAAATCATACATAAAACAAGCCGTGAACTACACGAAATTTTTTTACGACTACAACGGGAAATGCTATCATTGATTACTGTGTGCCCACATTGTATAAATTTAAGACCGGCTATTTGGCACAAAACGTAACAATCAACTCGAAAATACGTTTCAACAACTTTTAGCTAAAAGTTTAATCCCTCATTTCGAGATATAAAGTCATATAGGTTCCTTTTTGTTGTTTTCAAGTACGACACGGTTAGGTCAATTACAGTAGAGAGAGATGTATTTCATCATAATTTTTAATTTCACTTCGAAAATATTGCTGAAATAATCTTCTACAATTTTAATAATGTTCTACAATTTTGTTATGAAGAGTTTCAAGCTGTAACACAGATCGCTTAAGTACTCGTAATCCGAAATGATGATGAAAAGGAAAATATTTTTAATTAAGCCTCATTAATTTTCGTCCTTCCGGCGCCCTTAAAACTAGTTACAAATAGGTACTCATTTAGTAAGTCAGTAGCGAGCGCGGATGATTTCATAACTTGGAAAGCATTGGTGTGCCATATTTGGGGACAATGTTCTCGCGGTTTTGGTTAAGTTATTCACCGTCATTGAACAACCTTTACAATTGCAAGGGCGTAAACTCTACATTACTATAATATACGAATAAGTATTATAACTGGGATTTATGAGAATTGGTCTGACTAAATTGATGAATTGAATATTACGAATGTAAGTTTCAGACCATATAACAATTGGTTCAACGATTGCTCTAAGGTCTGGGTTAAATGCAACAGTCTTCAGGTTCAGGAGATATAAGTGCCGAAAGGGCGGGCGAAAAGACAAGCATCTCAATTACTAGTCTAATTAAATTAAACAGTAAAACACGAAGGTGTCTTCCACAGTCTCTGCAAAGCGTAGGTATGTTTCTACATTAAAATAGTAAAATATATATGTATTTACACGGGATTGTATATACATGGGATTAGGATGTATATGACGGACTTGTTGGTAGTAATGAGTAGGTAATGATCAACGCGTGGTAGGTTCTATTGGCACCGAGTCTTACCATTTTCAATTTATAATTTTTCTGATCGGACCTCGTCTGGAATTCTGGATACTATTTAATACACACCCATTGGGTGTTAGGAATATCGAAATTCCGTCCACAGATAAAAAAGCCGTCAAGATTAATCGCGTTTCAGACTGTGGATTTAACGCGAAAATTTTGTAAATGTTAAAATGCGTACACGATGTTCTGGATTTGCGTGCAGTTCTATTGGGCGCGCTGAAGGAACACTAAAACAAAGATTAAAGCGGCGTTTGTATCTAGACCAGTTTGAACGGAAAATTGAATTGTGTTCCAGCTTTTTCAAGGCTCTACTGGTTAGTAAGTTGTAAGGGCCACCGAAGGTCGAGCTCAGAATTAATTGGCACACGTCGGCGTAAATAGCCCGGTGTAATTCACAATTATTATTGTACGTACGTTTAAAGATGCTGAACGAAACATTGTTTTGGAGCAAGGTCGTGTATCCGGACTATTTAATAAACATTCCTCGGTGCGGCTATTGTTATCTAATACTGAACACCCCGTTGTAATATCGAATGGGAAGGTCCTGTTATACGCTGTTAATCATTTTAGAGTATTGTTACAATTCCTTCTTACCAAGAGAGCAGTGAAATCTTGTTATTTAATAACAGGGTTATTTCAATCGCTCTGTTGTCTACGGTTACTTATTTATGTTGCTCGTTGACAAACCGTGTTTAATCATTAAGTAGGTTTAACATAATACATATAAAATCATAAATTGATGTCATCTTAAATCATTTTAAACAGTAATTATCCATGAAATAACCACTTCTAACGGTTTAAACCAAAATGTATTAGTCCATTTATAACTACGAGGCTACATATCGGATATCGTAAACATCAAAAAATATTTACATTAAAAAACTCGTTTTGTCACAAACGGTTGTTATGAGAGATGCGAATTAAAAAAAGTGCATGATCACTTTAAATTAATTGACTACAATCACTTCAATTGAGACGCGATGAAAATAAAACTATTAGCTGAGCCATTTAGAGGTTTGGGTACCAAAATCAATTTTTATTGGAGCTTTTTGTAAGTAGGGGTCTCTTATACCACATTGTATGTTTTAATATACAAAAAAAAATAAGAAATTATAGTAAAAAGTAAGTAAAAAATTTGTATGTGAATGTGACTTACATCCCACCAATATGCTTTAATAACTAATGTATGACTTACGGCAACCATATTAATAATAATGTCGCTGTATTATAATCTGTATAAGTCTCGTTACTTTATTGGGCTACATTAAATAATGTTGCTTAGATCCGCACTGGAGTAGTATAGTGGATACTACTCCAGTGCGGATACACGAGTACCACCGAATCTTAATACGTTACTTATTTTCGGTGCCTTCCAAGGCAACCTACATACACTACTTAGTATAACCACTAAGCAACGGAGGCAGCCAATGCAATGCTTACTGCACTTACGGCTAATAATAGCTAAATCCAATTTGCAAGCACTTCGCGCTCATTAGTAATAGATACGTCGTTATCGTTTTCCAATTCAATGAATGGAAGTAAGAGCTTGAGTTATACGCTTCATTACGGACTTTCTACCCTCTGTATTAATGTCTAAGAGCCACTACAAACATTTTTGTCACTTCCCTCTTAAGTGATGTTCCAAGTATTCAGTACTAGGTTAGGGAGGTAAAGGTTAAAAGTGTCGACTGTTTTGTAATAGCGCTAAATCTTATTGAAATCGATTTAACGCTTAAGGTATAAAAACTTAAATCTATACTATATGAAAAAATGTCACAGATAAAATCTCAAAATTGTGAACTACATAGTGACTTTTTCCTTTTAATCATTCCATTAATGAGATAACGGTAAAATATATTGACTTATATGAATAGTGTTGAGTTCAATAAGAGTGCTTACTGTGCAATAGGAGGTGTAAGACCCCATATTATATAACATTAATAATTTATAAGTTTATAAGACATCACTATATAAAGCTTTTTTATATAGAAAGGATACTAAAGACCTAATAAATAAACCCGACATACACTTGGCAGTTTATTGATTGATAGATTTATTTCGGGGCGATTCAACTTCTAAAATTATGTGCGTTCAAGAACAGTTTGCAAATAGAAATCTTTATTATCATGACACAATTCTAACGGCATTACGTTAGTATTACTCGTTACTCGATTCGATATCAACATAAAAGCATAACAGTTTAAAAATAGAATACAACCTATGGCAGTGGCAATACTAGAACATCACAACAATTCGTTCCAATGATAATAATAACTTCTGGTACTTGAGTCTATAGTAATCATAATATTAATCATATTTACCTCGATCTTTTCGTTAGGTACATACACACTGTAATAATATAAGTAATTAATTTATATGTAGATATGTTACACATTCAGACATCTGTATCGATTGTTCTCTAATATAAAATGTCTTTATGCATATTTGATAGTTTACATAAAACTGTTTATTGGGAGAAAAATGTCGCGTCTCTTGAATGACATTAGACTGTGTCCTGCTAGACTGGAACTAATCTTTGTTACACCAGGTTTCAAACCCAGAAAATTTAGCTCGCGCTTAGCGCAATGAGTTTAATTGAAGTGGCAGTATACGTAATCATATTATTTGTCCATAAGTAGTAATTTTACTACGTAAATTAAAATTTATTGATCGCGACCTTTTTTCATGCAGCTATAAAAATTTTGAAATTTTCGTCAAGAAAGAGGTTGCCGCGGTTTTATAATTTCAACGATTAATTCTAAGTTCAAAATAATGAGTGTACTTAAATGCACCACAATTCACAGTGAACGGGTTTTCTAATTTCTCGTTAACGGTAGTGAGTTCTAGTTTCCGGTTTTGCGGACCAACATTCCAGCGGGCGTGTCGTCATCAATCATTTGTCAGGCTGCACGCCTTCATCTATGCATCGCCAGTGCCCGTAACTAAATCCAAGTTGCCTAGGTGAGTAGGTACTGAGTCCGATCGATACACTTCCTAGCTATGCTAATTTCGCGATTACCTCGCGCGATAGCTCGGCATAGTGATTAACTATTCCAAAACTATTTACGTAACGCTTTATAAAAAAAGTCCGATCTTATGAAATGTTTATTTCACCTGGAGAATGTTTAGCGCGGCCGGTTTATTTATGTTAGTGATTTTTTACAAGTGAGAGCTATTTTCGACATGGTATGCCGGTTACGTACGATATGGATTGGTGCATCGCCATGCTCGTGTGAAGGGTGAATGGCTATTCAGAAATGAGGGAACCTGCGGCCGCGTGGCATTCACGAGCTCTTTGAAACGATGTAAAACGTTTATTGAAACTTCCGCTCTCTTTTGAGCGCGAGGAACTGCGCGGCGCATTCTTCGCTTGTTTGTTATTAATAACGACATACGCGCTTGTTTGGAGAAGGCTCAGCATAAGGAACGAGTCACAGTTTATGGCGGCCATAATGGACAGTGATTTAGCTCACTCGAGCGAGAAGTGATGGGCGCAATAGATTGCAATTCGATGATGAAACCGATGGGAATAAATTGGGTCATTTACCATTACACTCTCGTTGAAACCCACTGCTTTAGTTGAACTGGCTGTGTCAGCGACTTCGTGCGCGTAGAATAGTTTTAGCAAAACTGCTCCTAATCTTTATTAATTATTATAACTGTTACCCACGTCGATAGCGTCCAGTTGTTCT